TTTGGCCCAAATAACCCCAGGATGACACACCAACCACAGCAGCCACTATCGGTCAGAGTATGCAATTCCCTCTTCAGTATACTGTCAAGTCAATATAAACATTGTCCACTTTACCAAGGGGTTTGTTAACCCAATGACGCCAGGTGTAAAAAAAAAAAACAAAAAAACTATACTCTAGCAAACAAAGGCGACTTTGAGCCCGAATCACCGGCTCGCTGTGCTTTAGTGCGCCGCCGCGGCGTACAGCCGCATGCCAGCTTTCGAGCGGTTTGTTTGCATGACGATCGGCGTCACCCGGCATCAAGGGGTTAATGTATTAGGCATAAAGGCACGTCAAGGAGCATCAGAACACGGAGCAAAATTGCAGTCAGTCCTTCTTGAGACAGGGAAACAAGGAGAGGGGTTGCGAGTGTAATGGCCTGAGGTACACTCCACCCCTCTCCACACTTCCAATACTCATGCGAAACGTAGATATACAAATATATAACAATGTTTAAATAGTATGGTAGGGCATGAAGGTTACCAATGGAAAGTGAACTGTACAGAATCTTTAGAGAGTAAGGGGCACTGTAATAAGGATCACTCTAAAGCAAGGGTTTTCCCCCTTTTCACCCCTCAAGGGTAGCTGTTGACTCCTAACCCCTGCTTTGCTTTGATTGATGTGACCTTAGTTTTTATTGGCATGATAGCAAAGACAAACTTCTTTCATGATCTGATGCTAAATGTATCAAGCTCTGCATTTGCAGAATTTATGTAGTGTTTGTTATCATGTGTCAGACTACAGAAAGCCTTGATTGTTCATATTGTGCCATTATCAGAGTGTGCTTTAGATTGTAAAAGTTCTAGCACAAATCATAACAAGTGTCAGGTAAATTGGGATGTGAGGGAGTTCCCTTATGAGAGTTACTATTGACTATTTTCTTTATCACATTTACTATTATTTGTTTTAAAAGCTATTTCTATCTGTAAGCATCAGGGCAATAGATGTACTAGTGGTTTAAGTTTTACATACAAGTCCTATGTGGTGTACACTCAACTTTAGACTATTATGAAAAGAATGACATTAACCATTACTTTCTAATCCTCTTCCTTTCCAACAGATATGGATTTAAAAAATGAGGAAGAGTGCCTTTGATAATACTTACTCAGGTCTTGGTGGTCATTTCTGGTATATTTATTGATGATAATGATAATAAAAGAAAGAAAAAGAAATAAAGAATTTAAACAAAAAAAGTTATGTTTGCTGTAGTGTGCTTTAGTTTTTTTTTTATTTACTGTCTTTCTTTGGCATAATATTACATATTTGATCATCTTTTTCAGTATTATGGAATAGATGAGGCCAAGAAATACACTCAAAAGTAAGTACCTTCCATTTCTTTTAAATTACTGCATGAGATCTTGCCTAAATTTTTACAAATATTTGAAAAATATTAATAATTTCAGCCTGAAATATAATTTATTTAATTGAGATTTTTTTCTAATATATAAAGGTTGATTTAAACTAGCTTAAATATCATTGTCATTATTCTTTTATTTTGTTTATTTATTTATATTTTTCTTCAAAAAGTATTGTATTTTAGTCTTTGCACTTCTCAGAAATAATTTTATTGGATTAAGATGTTACTGACAAATTACTATGCTAATAAACATGCCACCACATGCTCGAACACACAAAATGAAAAACAGGAGAACAAGGATTTCTAAACAAACCAGTTCTTTTGCAGCACACGTGTAATTGAAGTCCAAGAGAAATGTACCCAACGTGCCTTAGAGTTGTTGGCCCTTCCAGAGGACACACCAGCTCTTCTGCTCGACCTGGGCTGTGGGTCAGGGCTCTCGGGGGAAACAATCACAGACAATGGCCACATGTGGGTGGGCATGGACATATCTCCGGCTATGTTAGGTGAGGTTGTGATTATTATTGTTGTTATTGTTTTATTGATATTTGTTAGTTGTGTTTTTTGTTGATTTTTTCTCTATATTTTGAGGGAAAGCATGATTAGTTGTGTGAATTATTGTCTACTGTGTTAACATATTTGTATGTGTCTGTGTTTTCAAGATCAGAATCAATTCAGTAAAGGTTATCACTTATGATTTCATATGCATAAGAGTAGGTTAGTTAGGATTACATTTTATGCAAAGATATATGAGGTATGTTTTGAAAATATACAAAAAATTACATTTATGATGATGCTCAGTATTTCCTTTATTGTTGAATAATTGCAACACCATGCAATTTTTCCATCTCAGGCACAGATTTAAAACTCAATCAGGATTTTTTAATGGATAAACTTTAAATGTATAAGTGATCAGCTTACTGTAATTGCTTTACCAAATTTGCTAAGATATTTATCATGAAAACTCTCCTTGCAGATACTGCTCTGGAGAGGGAGGTTGAAGGAGATATTCTACTAGGAGACATAGGCCAGGGAGTTCCTTTCCGGGCTGGCATGTTCGATGGTGCAATAAGTATATCAGCAGTTCAGTGGCTATGTTATGCTGACACAGCAAGCCACAAACCTGCTAAGCGTCTCTACAAATTATTTATGTCTCTATATGCAAGTCTGGTAAGTGAATTTGATGAATGATCATAGTGGGTATTTTTTATTGTTATAGCCACTATGATTAAATCTATATCATTTCTTTTATTTAAAGGCATATTACCCTTGACCATCCATAGTTTCCTTTGGTAAAGGTACATCATGCAATTTACTACTAAAAGAGCATGAAATATAGAGTACAGTATTGCTGATTTTTATTTTCATTCCATAAAGAAGAGAGTTTTGTCATTAAGCAAGACTTATTTTACCAACAGTCTAGAGGAAGCCGTGCAGTGTTCCAGTTTTACCCAGAGAATGATGCACAGGTGGAATTGATCATTAGCCAGGCAATGCGAGCTGGTTTTACAGGTGGCCTTGTGGTTGATTTCCCAAATTCGAGCAAGGTAAATTTCTTTTTAATGATATAGTTAGAATGTTCATGACATGGCTGTTTTTGTTGGTATCAGTGTATACTGAATATATATTTTCTTAAATGTACATTTAACCAATCCTATAACTTGTCTTCATGTTGTTGTAAAAGTCAAAATCTAACTTCTCGTGCATTTATTGCTGTATCTCAGTATAGTTGTAAGGAATTCTCAAAATTTAGCAATAATTTAGCAAATAATCAGATTATTAAATCTATATTATTCTTCAATAGGCAAAGAAGATTTACCTTGTATTAATGACTGGAGGAAATGCCCAGTTACCAAAAGGACTAGAGGAGGAAGGAGTTGGCAAGACACAGGCACTTTTCCAACGGAGGTAAGGGTTTTTCTTTATAGTCCTGTACAAGGTTGGTATTATTTTCTTGATGGTGTGTTTTTACAGAAAAGGTACTTTAGATTATATTGAGAATAGTGTTCATGGTGTAAAAGTAGTTTAATTTTATAGGTGATGGCATTTCCTCCACCTATATTTTCACTTGACTAGTATATCTAAAATAGGTTACTTTTTACTTTGAAGCAGGGAGAAATATTGAAGGCTTTCGGGAAATGTTTATCTTGTATATTTGTTTACATGCTTGAAAAGATATCCTAAGCTACAACAAAGTAGAGAAATGTGGTTTCTAAAGCATGGTAACTCTACAACTTCTGTGTTCTCATAATGAATTCTTTCCACTTTTTCTCAGGGAACGCATGAAACAGATTCGTGGAAAGTCTGTTAAGGGACGTTCCTGGGTCATGAATAAGAAGGAGAGGATGAGGAACCAAGGCAAGAAAGTGTGTAATGACTCAAAATACACCGGCAGAAAGAGAAGTGGCAGATTTTAGTTGATTGTTATTGCTAGGTTTTTTTCAAAGTAATATATATTTATTATATTAGCAGTGAATCATTGATAACAAATTTAGGATTATGATATTGGCAATTACATATGATTCAAAGGTTTATGTATTTTTTTCTTGTTATTTTCCTTTATTTTGGTTGTTAATCTGTTCTTGAATTTGATATTTGGAAACCATTTTTCAGAATTGTATTGCTGAACCTGAATATCAAAACAATAATATGTTTAAAGTGTCTTTAATACAAATCAATACTATTAGGTTGTATGTATTTTATTTCCTCCTGGTTGATTTGTAGTCTCAAAGTATTTATGTAGAAGTCTGGTAAGAAGAAATAAGCAGTAAAAAGTTTAATTTCTTGAGATATTAAAATCTCATGACACTTTCACCCAAAGTGAAATACCCAAAAGTTAATACCAAAATTATGTTCATAACATTCATAGCAAATGGGTAAGTGTAAATAGTTAGGATTAGATGGCTACACTTGTACTAAGTCACCAATGAGCCAATTACGAGTACGGTTTTGCCTGTTTACCCTTTTCCTTGATTTACGAAAATATTTTACGTTATCTTATTTTGCTGTTACTAATGTCTATAACATTATAGTAATTATAATGTCTATAATAAAAATAACACCATCAAAATTCATGGCATTAGTAAAAAATACTCTATTCCCACTAATTCAAGGAAAGGTGAAATTAGGTAAGGTGACCTGGTCTACTAATTGACTCCTTTGTGGCTAAGCACTAACAGAGCGATCTATGTGCAGAGACATTTCACAAAAAAATAAAAATGAGCACAGCATTTTCCCTGGAGGCATGTGGTTAAGGATCAGTGTATCAAAAAGGAGAAAAAAATATTAAATTCTAAGTACAATAATGAATTTATATTTAAAAAAGGCTGTGTTTTCCTTTGGACAGACATCACAATTTTCACATGCATTCTGATGGGTGTAACCAAGAAATTCACCTCCTTAGCATTTTTTTCTTAATCTAATTACATTATAACAAAAAGAAACATTAATTTCACCATTATGTAATACAACAAGAAGATTCCACAATGTTAATGCAGTGGCAGGATACTCACATTAAAAGAGATTCAGTAACTTTCAGTTGAGTGTAATTGGTTTTACTATCAACAAATTAGGTATACAAGGAAATGCAGTTGTGTACAAAAC